TTTTAGTATATTAATTTTATTTTTCATTTCTATATATTTTTTAGTATATTAAATAAAAGATAAGATTTTATATATTTCATCGAACATATAATTCATTTGGGGAGGGAGTAGTGGTTATTGATGCACATATACATACTAAAAATGCCGTTATATTATAATTTAAAACTAACCACATCTAATGTTAATTAACATATTTCAAGTGGCCACTACATAATGACGAATCACATTAGACTTGATCATCTAGTTGCTACAAATAGAAATGGAAGGGGTAGACCAAGTTATGTTAGGAATTGAAACACAACACACAAATAATCTGTAAGGAATTTTACGTGGTTCGATTTTCCCGGCTCACGTCTATAACATTAGGAATTTTTATTTCACTTGTGGTGTCTAGAATACAAGTACAAGAGCTCAATATAAGGAGGACAAACCTAGGACTGCGAAACTTGTTTCCCAAGAATAAAAAATAGGCTAAAAACTAAGATGGGTCAACCCTAATCAGGTGCGAACAAATCTAATCACCATAAGCCCAACAATCTCCCAACTGGGGGCATGATAATCATAAACTTCCATCTGCCACGAACGATCGTAAATATATTAATTTTTCTCAGCTCTCGTGTTGCATCGATCCTCTCATCAGACCACTCAAAGGCCCGTTGAAGTTCTCTTGAGCTCCAACACATCAGTCATGGCTAAAGCTGCCCCTAACTCATCTTCAGTTCCTACCGACTCCTACTAAAGACACGCAATGCCAGATCTTAGAACACCTTAAGAACAAATACTTTGTTGGGATACTAGTTATCATGATGCACTATCACATGGAAATCTTGGCTGAAGCACCACCCGTGCTCCCACTGTTACAAACACATTTGACTGACTTATTTAAACCTTTCCTCACTCATTCATCTTGAACCTAACGTGTTGAAAGACAACAAATCTCTCTTGCTTCCGCAGGCCATGACAAGATTCCCTTTTATCACCTTATACTACTTGTCTCCAAACTTTACATTGTGTCCTTGTTCGTCCAACTCCCTGACAGAAATCAAACTCTTCTTCAAGGCTGGAAGTACTTTGGCATCCTTCAAAGTCTAGAAACCAACTAGGGTCTACAACACAATGTCACCTATGTTGTCACATCAAGAGCTCTATCGTCTACTGTTTATATCTTTTAGAAGTCACCAACAATTAGATTCTATAGTGCTTTACTTCTAAGGGTGGCATGAAATGAAGCACTATAGTCCATGATCTAGGGATCCCGAGTGCTGTCCAGACAACAATTAAACAAATCATCGTCACTCACGAAATCTTCAATAATTTTCACCTGCTTATCCTCTTTTGGTCACTAATTCTTGAAATGCCCTTGCATTTAGCATGTTACAACTGGGCTATCCCGAGTCTTCGACTTACTCCTTATGTTCTTTCTCCACTACCTCTGCTACTCTTTTTGCCTCTGCCAACATGTCACAATTTACAAGATTACTCCTTAGAACTCCTTCTGACACCTTGCCAAGAACGAGATCACGAATCTGATTCAAAGTGAATTCATCAAGTCCCACTAAATTGGTAACCGTTGTAAGAATTCTAGAGCAACTCTCAGGCAAAGACGATAGTAGTAGCAAAGCTTGAACTTCATCATCGAACTTAATTTGCATTGATGCAAATATGTATAAAATCAAATATAACTTATTAATATGCTTGTAAATGAAGTTACTTACTCGAACGTGAACCAATCTAGTCTCCACAAGCCCAACAAGTTACACAACAACTTTCATAGTACAACTCTCTTCACCATACATTTTTTATCCACTTTCTACTTATCCACACTAAAAATGTATGGTAGCAGAAGGCTAAGTAGTATGTAAATTGGTTTCACAAAGCATTTTTGTCATAAACATTGCATCTTACATTGCAATGATAGTGCTACGCCGCCATCACTACACACTCGCCATCATAAAATCTCTACTTTTTCGTTTTCATAAATTTTTTATTTTTTTCAATCTCACAGTCGATGTAAGAGATGGTGGAAGTGTGGAAGCTGATAGCCCTCGCCGCTTTTCGAGTTGCACTTTCTTAATTTTTGGCGAGCTTTTTTCTCCTTCTTTCTTCATTTAATTCTTCTTCATTTTCTTGTGCTGTTACCAGCCATCATTGTAAGGACATTAAACGATGTAGACATTACTCTTTTTTTAATGAATACAAAGACATTAAAATCAATGGATAATGTCCATGGATGCTAAACATTGAATGAGTGTAGCTCCTTTTTGTTGAGAAATTGGGTAGGATCTAGGAATTAGACATACTTTAGGTCTTGAATACTTATCATGTCAAATAAAATAATATAATATATATTTAAATATGTTAAATACGGAAATTAAATATAAAATAAACAAACAAATAATTAAAATAAAAACAAAGGGATAAGACCACCACACCTTCAATAAGGTGATAAGGTTGTGCTCGCCACACCCAACGGGTGATAAGAACGATTCGTGCCACTATGGTATTTATAAGAATTTAAACGCCACAACACAATAGAAAAGAGATTCGACGACACAACTGGATTAACCCCTTGATATGTCTAAGAACAATTCTAGAGAAACCTCAAGAAAACTTAATATTATTCAACTCCAAAAACAAATGAATTTACAAAGGGTGTTAAGCCTTATTTATAGCTCAAAAGCTAAGCTATACATGGAATTGAATTCAAAATAAATTCTAAAGAAGGGAAGGAAGTGGCGTTCAAAAAAAGGAGAATTGAGGAGATATTAATACTAATTTATTGTCTCCATTTAAAGATCTTGCTCCTTGTAAATGTGATGCCTTCCTTGCATGGACATATCCTCAAAAGGAAAATAAATTTAAATTTATTCTTCTCCTTTGATACTTGTGGCATGCGGAGTTGTAATTAACTACTCAATTCTATTGTGTCATTTAAAATAAAGAGTGTTTATTGTCCTCTCTTATTTTATTACACATTAGGAAAGTGTTTAATATCTTTTCCAAATTTGAATGCTTTCTAGTTTCTTCTTTCCATGGTGGCAAGGCTCTCTTTGTCCTTCTTCTAGTAGCGTCTCTAATTCTTCTTGGATCCTCCTTGCTTGGGCTCGGGTTGTTGGGCCTTACGTGCTTGGGTCCGGGTCATTCACATCACTTTTGCTTCGCTCATGTATGGGTGTTGGTAAATTGTTGTTCGGCCTCGAAACGTGCTAGACTACCAACCTACGTATGATGAGGAGGTTGTTTCTATTTTTGACAAAGGCCTGAGGAGAGCGATCGATAATATTGTGGTTTGTGGGGTCATGTTTTTTGGGGATCTTCAATGCAAGCTAGCATCCCTTCCGACTCGTTTTGGAGGTTTAAGATTATTTTTGGTAAAAGATGCCTCATACTACGCTTTTATGGCCTTGAGGGCAGAATCTTTTAGTTTGGAGGACCACATTCATTGGGACTATGATATTATTAGGTTATATTCTGTTTATGGGTGTGTGTTGGATTGTTGCACATATCCCTTTTCGATTTGATCTTGTTGGTTTCTCTAATAAGGATAGCGGCCCATAAAGCTCAAAATGCTTTGGCGAGTGCCATATTTAGTTGAATCTTCAAAGTTTGGGAGAGAAGTTTGATCAATTCCTCGCTTAATAATGTTGTTTGAATGTCTCCATACCCCTCATGCTTAGAATTTTCTAGCACTCATCCCCATCTAAAGACTGGCCAACACATGCCGGTTGTGGAGTACACAACAATCCTTAATAATTGAATTATGATCCCTCTCTTTCTGATTGATGAGCCTTGTCCAATTTGCCCCGCAGCGTGTTTAGGTACTTTTGGATAGCATGCATTTCATTGCAAAGAGCTACTAAATACAAGCATGATTGGTCAGGGTTATTCTATATAATATTCTAAACCAGGTATGGCAGATTTCAGCTAAAAACAGATCTTGTGAACTTTCAAACAGATTTGCTTGAAGGATTGTCTACTCCACGACCAACCAATATTCTTGTATTTAGGTGGGCATGGGGAAACACGCTTGTGTGGACCTTATAGGAGTGTCCCCTTATTTGGCGTAGAAATGATGAGTTTGTTGTTGGCCACGCAACGTTGAAGGCGGAATTAGGCAAAATTGCCAAATACGAGAAAACTTGTTTAGAGAATCAACATGTGTTTATCCTTGTTATTTTTGATACATTTGGTTAACTCCATAGGATGTAGAATTCTCGATAAAGGTTCAACGGGTAGTGGATAAGAATCTTTTGACCCCTAAGACTCATGGTTTCGTCTTTAGTAAGATTGGTTTTGCTATCCAAAATGGGGTTGTGGCGCAGCTTGTTGCCTATTTACCTGTCACTTTTTTGTAGTGGTTGTTTTAGTGCTAATTGAAGGCACTATGTGATTAAAAAAGGTACTCTCTAGAGTCTAGCTTAAAACTTTATTCCCACTTAGTATTCGTATGTTCAAACTTTATTTAATTTCTTTGTATTTTTTATTAGTTATTCTATAAAAGAACATAATTATGTCACCACTTGTACAGATTTTTTATGTAGTTTTTAATTTAACTCCCTTTGTCTAAAAATTATCTTCTCGTTACACGTTACGATGCTTGGTTGAAGTTGTTTTCAAATAATTTTATATAAAAAATGGTGTGAAATTAAAAAATAAAAGTTATATAATTAAAAGTTGTATCAAAAGATCTAAAAAAACTATAAGTGATATAACTATATTATATCAAATCAGGAACTAAAATAGGTTAACAAAATAAATAAAATTTGACCTTCTGAAAAGTGAACGAGAAGATAATTATGGGACGAAGAGAGTATAAATATTATTCTAAAATTTCTCGTTTATAATCAAATTAATTCAATTAGAAATAAACTCAATCAAATTTAATAAACTAAAATAGGAAAGAGTATTTTAGGAAAAGAATAAGTTTCTAAAATACTACGGAGTAAAATGTAATTTTCTTGCTCTACAACCACCGAAATTTATTTTGCAATCAAAGAATCCCTGGAGAAGCAAATCGCGGGGTTAACGACTATTCCATCTTCCCACGCTTCGCCCAATTCACGCCGATAAACTTGGCTCACCGGCTCCGGCGTTACCTCGCCGTCAGACCGACACCTTTCGTCCGAACTTCAGTTTTCCACAAGCCCGATCCATTACGACCCGACCCGCGCAGATTTCCTACAATTACAAATTAGGGTTTGATTTGTGTTCGGATGAGCTACTATGTATATAGAGGAGGAAGCCATCGCAATAGCGGTTAGGGCAGAGCCGAAGGAGATGGTGGCCGAGGAATCAAAACCCTCGCCTGCAAATGAGGAATTCGAGTGCACTGAAAAGGGGAGCATTTTGGCAGTTGATACCAGGCGGGCTATGATCGGTGTCGCCGCTCGAGCTCTGTTTTATCCCACTCTGCTGTATAATGTTGTTCGAAACAGGATTCAAGCGGACTTCCGGTGGTGGGACTGGATTGATGAGGTGTATTTCACTATTCCCTTTGCAATTCATGGTTTTGTTATGTAACTTTGCATTAGATTGAATTTTTATGGTTTCTCTGGCTTAAAAATCTTAAACGGTTAAAGGTTTTTAGTTTCTTGTTTTCTGTGGAACTGGATTTTTATAAAATATGTTAAGTTCTATTATATCTTTTAAATGAAAAAATTCAATTAATGTGCTAGGTAACCCCCCATCCATGAAAAATAGCTTGCCAGAATTATAGTGTGTTGAACTTGAATGGACCTGTTTTGGTTTAATGTGTATTCTTGCTGAAGTAGTGATTTGGCTTACTGGAACCCTTTGACTTTTAGTTTGTATTGCTGGGTGCTGTCCCTTTTCCGTCTGATGTGGAAAGGCTAAAAGATCTTGGAGTTTGCAGTGTTGTCACCATGAACGAGCCGTATGAAACATTAGTTCCAACTTCCTTATATCAGGTGATTTTTCATTGAAATGTGTAGTTATTTTAAACTGATTTTACCATGGCTAAAGGCTTTTTTTCCCCACGTTGCATACTCTTTCACTTGAAATCATTTCTTACATGCAATGCACCAATCATGCAAATATTTTGTTGAGATATCTTGGATTTTGGCAGATTAGCTATCAGTTCTCAAGCTTAATATGAAAGTAAAACTTCTACATACATCTGTAAGCTTAAGATGTTGAAAACGTAGAAGTTACAATGCAACATCCATGAATTTAAGAACGAATTTTATGTGGGATATAAAAATAATGGGTATATAAGCTCTTTGACTTGAACTAAATCCAACTAAGTAACCGATGGAATATAATCTTTTAATGTTGTTATTCTGCTCTTTTTTCGAGTAACGTATTTTTGTACATTATTAATGTGAAGTTTCTATTTATGTGTTGTAGGCTCTAGGTATTCATAATTTGGTTCTTCCAACAAGAGATTATATGTTTGCACCTTCACTGACTGATATATTCCATGCTGTTGACTTCATCCACGGTAAACTTATGCAGAGTACCTATTTAAACAACATATCAAATTTGTGGGCATGGAATTAATGTTCACAAATGTGTGTTAGAATTCTGAATCATATTTTGTTTCTCTCTTTAGAGAACGCATTACGTGGGCAGAGGACATATGTCCATTGTAAGGCTGGTAGAGGACGTAGTACGACCATTGTCCTATGCTATTTGGTGAGATGACCCTTTAAAATGCTTTGAATTCAGGATTGATTTTATGATCCTTTAAAATGCTTTGAATTTGCTAATTTTTTGAAGTTTTTTTTTGCATTATAGGTTAGGTACAAGCTGATGACACCAAATGAGGCCTACGATCATGTGAAAGCAATACGACCCAGAGTATTGTTAGCCTCACCCCAGTGGACGGTCCGCATTTGCTTTATTGCTCCACTAATTTATATATGGGCATATTTTCAGCATTTGTTTGTTATTTTCATAATATGGCCACTTTTCTCCTTTTTAACATATTCTGAAAGTAAATTGATGCATTATCGACATATTAGAATGTGAATCCTTTTGGTAATTCGTCTTATTTCTTCCCACAAAAAAGGTCAAATCTTTGGTAAAACCAATAGAATTATCTTAACTCAAATTTGTTCAGGACACACTACATTTATGTTTCTTTTAAGATTTTGATTATGGACGAAAACGTAAAATTATATAACAAAGCTTATTCTTGTTTACAGGCTGTCCAGGAGTTCTATCACTATCTGATCATGAGGACGGTCAACACATACCCAACCTTTTCTATCTCAAGGAGTCCCGGGTTCATAGCCACAAAGAACCTGTTGGCATTTGATGATAGCTCGGTGTTAATAATAACAGAAGCAGATGTTGATGGGTATGATGATGACCGTCTTGTTGTGCCCGTGGGTGCAAGATATAAGATGTGGTCTGGTTTCCGTTTGCCTTGGCCATTCCGAATCGCTGGCGCCGAAGTTTCTTGCCTCTGGCTCCATTTCAAACTCAACTCCAAGATGCCCGGCTATAATTAAAGCCTTTCCAAGAGATCAAAATCCTTAGGTTAGCAGCTTGGACTTCATCATATGTAAGTATCAATTTGTATATATGTGTTGTATTTAAGAGATGCAGTTGTCACATTGTGTTCTATTTGAACATTGGAGGGCTGTAAATATAGTTAAGTTTATGCCATTATTATTACTACTTGGTGGTACATTTTTCAGGGGATTCAACACAGTGTCATCTTAGCATTTTGAGGAATGGCATTTGGGTATAGCTTCAATTTATCTCACACCAACATAATTCTAAAATGAACCAATCTAATAACCCAAAATTCAAATTTATGGTAGTAAGTTTAGAAAAAGATTTTTTATTTTGTATTGTTTGGGTCTTGTACGTGAAAATTAACTTTTCTAAAATTGAATGACGGTGAGATCCACCAAGAGTAAATGAGCCAATCTAACCCACTTCTAGGCATATGATTTCATCTTAAATATTCAATACAATGCACAAGATAAGTTTTGAACAATCTTTAGGGATAACCAATTTGACCTAATTATAAGCATAGGTGATTTGTTTGAAAATACTCTGTAACAAAAGAGATGAATTTTCAACTTATCACAGATGCTAGGTATGCTTGGCGGTTCTCCGATGTAGGAAATGTGGGGGTGATAAGCTCTTCGTAACAAGTCCCGCTGATATGAAGACCTCCAAACCCGCCATGCGCAATATGGATTTCTCCGTTCTTGTGAATCATCTTCTTAGCATTCTCTATAAAGGCCTTCACATACAATGACCCTTGCCTCCTACATAACTCCAAACAATGAAAAAATGAAACATTTAAATAAAAGTCAAAGTTCTATAATTAAGTTTGCTTTTTAACAGTAGTACATTTTGAGTTTAGTTCTATTTGTCCTTAGAGTTTATGTTAAACATAAACCCATTAGCCAAAATAATTTTTTTTATTTCTCTTCAAATTTGCAACAAACATATCTATCTGATCACATTCTACCTTCGTTAATGATTATTTGTCCACTTTTGATTTTTTTGTTTAAAATTAGTAAACTTTAATCTCGAATTAAATAAAGTGGATATTAAATATTGATATAAAATAATTTTATTAGATTTATTTTCTAAAATATTTTCAAAATAGTATTTTATCTAGTCAATATACCATATATTATAAATATTTTAATAAAAAATAAATCAAATATTGAAAATAATCGACATCAAAAGATCAAAACTCGACAAATACTCGAGGACGGAGCGTGTATCACATTTTTAATTTAGAACAAAAGGAATAACATATATGGCAAAGGGCAAAATGAAAGGTATAGTAATTAGTAAGTGACCTTAGTAGTCGAAGAGTGCGAGATTTCAAATTGGGAAAGCCGGGCAACGGTAAAACAAGGACTATACGGTCAAATGCGAGAGCGTGCAACAGTGAATGGTCCGCCATTTGTGTAGCATCTACCCCATGCATCACCTTGCATCCCTTTCTTCTCAACCCCACTATGTTGTGAAGGGCATTTTCGTCATAATCTTTCACAAAAAAATCTTCAAAAAAAATAATACACATAACGTCAAAAAACACTTTTCGACCAAAACTATACAAGAGTTTCATCAAGGAAATACTTTATCCCAAAGTCAATTAAATTTTGAAAAAAATTGAATAAGTTGGGGGTTGTGGGTTCAGATTGGGGTGAGCGATTTATCGGGGAGGGGCTAGGGGCCGTACTGCAATTTTGTGAATGAAACACCATCGGTGTTCCAAATGGAGCAAGTGTCACCTGTTTACACTCAAAAGAAATGGCTCAAGAACCCCACCGAAAAAAGTAACAGTGGAATAAAATATGAGATTAGGAACGACACAATATAATGTCATTAATAAAATAGGATTAGCATGACAAATTTTCACATTAGAGACCGCAAAAAATCAAAGAGTATGTCAAAATGTAGTGGAGTAGACGAGTGGTTTACCGCGGGACTCGAGGGTGGTGGCAACCATGTTTGAAGCGAAGGCGAATGAGGCGGCCAAAGCGGAAGAAAATGAGAAATCAACCTCACCAACTACAAGTATTTGGTGACACCTTTGGTATAGTTGCACCACACATTTCTCTACTCTTGGTAGTAGGACACTATTACTACTACCACGGGTAAGTTTGCGTACACCTACCCTTTTCTGACCCTGTATGGACTCACCTTTATTGTCCCCCACTAGTGGTGCGGGAGTAAGTTTGCGTACATTTCCCCTCCCACGGCCCCGCCTAGGGGTGGGAGCCTCGTGCACGGTGGGGCCATCGTCTTTCGGTTGTAGTAGTAAAAAGTAGGAGGAATAATGATCCATATCAAGGAGTAGTTCTTGTTGTAATGACTCAAAATCTTCATCTTCTTCGGCCAATGCCGCCATCCCCTCCCTTATCTTCTCCGTCATCGTCTTCTTCTTCATTTTCTTCTTCATTTTCCCTAAAATCATTTTGGCATGCAATTGATATGGGATAGGTATATTACACTGGGAATTGTCTTCTATAGCTCATGTTTTTATTATTACAGTAATTGTCTCATTTGGCCTTTTGCGATCCTCTAAGACTATAATAATAATGATGGCAGAGTTTTTTAAGTTCAATAAATGCATTCCATCATTGGCCGGTTTCCTCCACGGCAGAAATAACACTCGATTACGAGAAGATTTTCTAAATTGTCGTAGTCCTACTCTCAAGTTCTTATATACTACGAACCTCCCTCATTGTTTATTTTTTTGTTTTGATTTTTTCGAGTCAAACTGGATGAAATTTAAAACTCGATTCATTAAATAAAAGAATGTAATGTATTCAGATACTTCCTCCGTCCCCCTAAGATCTTCTCGTTTTGACTTTTTGTGATTTTTAAAGAGAATTTAAAAAGAGTGAAAGTTTACCAAAATACCCTTAATGAAAATGGGTGGGGTGTATTAAATAAGGTGAAAAAGGTGTAATAAATAAAGTAAGTGGGGGTAGTTGTGGCATTTTAAATGTTAAAAAAGGTAATGAGAAGATCTATGTGGGACAAATAAAAAGGGCTAATGTGAAGATCTATGGGGGACGGAGGAAATATAAAAATAATTAATTTTATTAGAACTAACTTGTTCAGAACTTTTACAATTTTACTTCATACGGAGTATTGTATTAATATGAAATATAAATTAAGAGTAATTGTGATTACAACTTGACGAATATACTGAAACAGAATAAGTATACATGAAATTAAGGTTTGAAAAAAAATACTACCTCCGTCCCAATTTATAACGCCTGTTTCGATTTACGATGTTTGACTGAAATTATTTTCAAACCATTTTATATGAGAAATGGTATAGAATTAAAAAATAAAAATTACATATTAAAAAACTACATCAAAAGATCTACAAAACTAGTAGTGACAATAATATTTTATTTTATCACATTGCTAACGAAAATAGAGAAAGAAAGTGAATGAAGTTTGACCCTGTGAATAGTAAACATGCATTATAATTTGGAACGGAAGGAGTACTGTTTGTACATGTTAGGAGTATATCGTATTATGTGTACTTCAAATATTAATATTAAATATTGCTCCCATCCAAATGAGTTCGTCAATTCATGTTTGACTTTCTGATGTCAAATTTGATAAATTTTGATTATGATTAAATAAAAATGAAATGAATATTGGTAGAGATATAATTTATTTAGATTTAACTTGTTTTATACTCCCTTCCGTCCCAAAAACTCTTTTCTTTTCTTTTTTTCTTGTCTCACAAAATCCTTCCCTTTTCTATTGAAAAATTACTTTTACCCTTACTAATTCTTAACCTATCTATCACATCATATCTTTTTACTAATAATCTACCTATCACATCTTACTTTTACACACTACATCAAGGATATTTTTGGAAAAATCAACACAAAATTATTCTTAATTTTACGCACCACATCAGCCACTCTTATTTTCTCTCCACCAAACAAACACACTAATGACACTATACACTTTCCTCCGTTCCCTCCAACCAAACAAGGGGCTAAAAAAGTACCAAGCAAATTAATTATCCGTAGTAAAAGTAGTCATTGGTAAACGTGTGCAATGGTTCCTCCAATTTCATGTCCCACACAACAACATATTTTAAACGTGGAAACCAAAAGTCACAATGTGATATGGGTTTTCATCAACCTCATCACACAGAACTGATTTACCAGAATGCTTTAATCAATGATGGCTCTGCTCTGATTGATGGACGGTTCTTCCCTTATAAAGCCAGTAAATCACGCAGAGAACAAACTGTCGATAGGCGAATAGTTCAAAGACACATTGCTCTTCGACGATTCGTCCTCCAAGTAAGGAATGACGTGTTTCTTCATATCGCTTGCAGAAATCCCGAGGTGGCCTCCCGATACATTCACAAACTTAACCCTCCCAGCATCATCCAATGTTTTCAACCCAATCCAGTCCTCTATATACAGGCTTGTCTGTGATCATATATAGGGAATTATGTCATAAATAGATCGTAAATAATAATGGAGAGATTAAGGTATACGAAACCCTTTGTATATCTCTCCAAAATTTTGGATTTTAACCCAAAGAAGGGGGGTGTGGTAGGGTATAGGGGCGGCCTAGGGGGTGGGGGTTTGTGGGGTTAAGGGCGGTATAGGGTAGGAACCACTTTGAGGTTGAGCAGAGTATTGTAGGGCCTCCAAATGTATTGGTGTCATACAATGACACTAATGGCCGGTGTCAAAAGAACCAGCCCATTTACAACATTTGGATTATAGATGTAACAAACTACAGACTATCAAATTAGGAGTATACCTGCTTTGGGGGTAACACTGGTTCAAAGGAGCCATCTGGATAATATCCAAACCACGACGTTTCTTTTGGTATCAGGACAGTGTCATGCTCAAACTGTCATCGCGAAAAAAAAAACGGTAGCCAAATGAGACAGAATTTATGAGATACCCACACCTGTAAATGATTAAGACATTGCAATTTGCAAATATACAGAAACATTTTCCTCAAATGATCTTCAACAAAAAAAAAACAAACCACTCTAGAGGCGCTTGAGTCTGCTAAATTTTCTTAATCCATTTTACCCAAACAAGTGAAAGTCAAAAGCTACTTCTGCCTATTCTGTTGATACAAAAGATGAAGCTGATTATGGATACAAAATGGGGCCTTACGACGATTATCAAATCATTAAACACAATGGGGTAAGATGAAAACCACATGGATAAGATTGGTGGAGTAACAAACCATGATCAGCACCAGATTCTGCAGGCTGCTGAACCGTTGCTTGTAAGTGTTGTTTTTGTGATCAGGGAGTTCATTGTTAAGTTTGGGAAGAAAATGACAGCTTTCCAAGTAGCCCGGAATATTCTGGGAGAACAACACAAGAGTCAGTGTCATGAGGGTCATCTCATCATTCATTTGCACTCTCTCTGTCATTTTTATTTAAAAAATGCCAAACTCAATATGAAACACACAATTCTTTCCTTACATTTGGAAGCTTGAGGAATCCACTTGGAGCCAAGTGATTCTGCAATAAATGAATATTTCAGAATGAGTTCAAAGATATGTCCCAACTTTATATTGTATCACGTAGAAAGCAGATACTTTATACCTGCACATACTTGGAGTATATTTCAGATTTTATCAGCGCATCCGCTATAATGCAGAAGATGCCGGACTGCAAACAGAATACAATCAACACAAGTTTGAAATAATCATAAGACAGTGGTGAATAGGAAGAATGTATACCCCACATAGAGGAACTGAAGCAGTACCCGCGTGAGGTCCTCCCAAGGAAACAAAATTCTTAACCTGTATAGAAATGGAAAGAACACCGTGTGTGTGTGTGTGACCACCTCTAAGGAGAAAATTATTTACAAAAAAAAGAAATGCTGTAAAAAAAGTAAAGACTAGAGAGATCCTTCCAATTATGTTCTTACAGGTGGACCTCCATCGCAGAATTCCACAACCCCTCGGCCTATAAGATTTCCCTACATCAATAGCACATGAACAATGAATATGCACAGTCATCTGCTAATACTCAAATAGAACACTCAATCAAGTCCAATTTCATCAGTAACAAGAAGATTATTCAATAAATACTCTCTCAATCACGAAATAAACTTCAGTGTTCAGTTCATGGAGTTTAAGAAAAGTGAAAAGTGTTTGACTGAAATATGTTTCAACGAGACAGGAAGATTGTGCGCCACATCTTCTATTTCTTAAAAGGAATAAGGAGAAGTGTGAAGTTTATATTGTGACACTCAAAAATGGAAAGGATGAAGTTTATTTTGGGAGAGAGAGAGAGAGTATGTTTTTCCGAATTTGTCCCCAAAGCTTTTAAGGATATGGGAATTTTGGGAAGAAAGTTTTTTCTACACCTCAGAATTCGGAAGCACGAAAATCCCTTATAAAGAGGAAAGAATCCTTTTAAAAACACCCTTTAAAATAGGACTTGAGGGATTACATTTTCTTTCCTTTTCTGCCTTTGGGGGGGGTCAAGATCCAACAAATGTTCCCATTTGATTTTCTTTTTTAAGAATGAATCTATACATTTAATCATGAAAAATAATGGGGATAAGCAAAGAAGATACCCCAACCCGTAGTAAAAATTTATGCATATCAACTAACCTGCGAGAGACCAACAATATTGTAACCTTGCTGTAGTTCTTTCATTTCCTTCACCTGTTCTTCAATTTTTGAGCTCGCAGTGAGTATATCAGGGTCAAAGATCAGGAGAGGTCACTAGAAACTTAAATTATGCAAAGATTTACCACCTTTTTACACACAACTTCAGTCTGCATTCCAAACAAAACAAATCATCACTATTCTTAGGAATTTATGAAACCAAGATAATCATAGGAACACATCTATACTTGACTTAATTTACCTGTTTCTCTAGAGTCATAAACCAAGAATCCCAGAATCCATCCCCTATTTCTCTGCAAATTATTTGAATGTTAATGGAGATAATTCGATACGAGAATAACAAATAATGAGCCTATACAAATTCGGATTCCATGACCACTACATTCACTCATTCATAATGCACACCATGTTATGATGAGTAGCATAACACGTGGTTTGTATCTTATATGTTCAATTAAGATGAGATTCTCATTGTAACTCACTAACTTGTTTGATAAGACCAAACCCGAAAACCGTGAGTTGGTTCTAAAAACGTGACCGGATCAATTTGGCTGTTTGAGTTTAAGTATACAATATGTATACTTCCTCCGTTCATTACTCGTTGCAATACTTTTCTTTTCTTTTTTGGAGTTTCAAATAATTAATTGCAACACTTCTATTTTCGATAGTAAAAGTGCCAAAAAGACTATATTGTCTTAACTTTCTAGTTTTGGGTAGAACTCCATCCGTTTCAAATTAAACACGACAGTTTTACTTTGCGAAGTTTAACAGAAGTGAATGGTTGAAACTTGTTTAGAAGAGACAATAATAATATGCTTTCCTTAGAAGGTCATATTTTTTCGCTGTTACATCATACTTTTACTCATGACACTCAATTGCAAAATTGGAAAGTCAACTACCACAAACACTCCACTTAAAACATCATTACCTCATTCACTCAGCTCATGCTCTTCTGTAAAAGAAAACTATAAGAAAAAAAATGAAACGTACAGACAATATCCATCAGATCTGGACCATTCAATCAGCTGCTCTGTAAATTTTTTCACGCCCTTGTTCGAGCACTGATCCCCAATTCCTTCCATCACAGAAAACCAATTACCATTTCCGGCAATCAAAAATTCAAATCAATGGAAGACGAAATAAATTTCAGTGGTTTTTTTTTCTACTTCTCAAAGCAATGGGGAAAAATTACCATGGAGCACGATGAACGGAAGAGAACGCGAATGGGGGATTAAATGAAAGGCGGAGAAAATCGCGATGGAGAAGGCTACTGACGAGAAGATCGACGATGGAGACGAAGCCCCCCGACCCATTGATTAATTCTTGCCCCCGAGGGAATCGAGCTTTCTTTCCGGGAAAATATTGCGGAGGATCCAATTTGTGTGTATTTAGAGTGTAGAGAAGATGTACAGTTGTACTGGGAGTCGTCTTAAGAAGCTTTGAAAGCATGGAGGGGAGGCAGGTGGGAATGGATGGGAAAGTTGTGTCCCACTCACATCAACTGTGTGTGGTTAACGGTCAAGGGACTCTTCTTTTGCTTAGGGGTGGCGCCCTCATATTATTACCTTATCACGAGCTGTCGAAATGCTCTCTTATTTAAACGATTCGATATTGGTACGGGATGAACCCTAAAATTATTTGTTATTATTATTGATGAGTGTAATCCACCCAGGACCGGTTAAAGGAAAGATCCAAATGTTTAACCGGTCAAGTTGTTTATTATTGAAGGAAAGATCTCAATCGTCAGTGAAAGAGAGCTTGGCTGGCCGGAAAGATGACCGGTGTACTTCGGGTAGTATACCGGTCAAACTACTTCATCGCCTAATCTACTCCATGAGTTCCCATCGACTCAACCCTCAGAAACTACCCGGTACGTTTCCTAGGGTTAAAGGGTGTCGGCAAGAAGAATCCAAAGAAGCTTGGATTGTAGTGACTAGTATCGCTGGAAGATCAATGGAGATGCTAAAGGAATCTGTCCAAGCCAGTACGCGATAAGGGAGCAATCTCCCTCACAAGATGACAAGGCAGCAAGAGGACGAAGGCCATCACCTCCCACCCTCCGAGAACGTGCCTCAACGTGGGTGCACGATGTCCTGTCCCCTTCAAACTCAGTATATATACTCCTGTAACCTTCAAAGGAAGGGATCCGAATTCATTCTCTCTAAACTCCCCTGTAAAAGCATTCGTGCATTCTCTGCTATAATATTAATTGGGCTACAGGTGTTTCCACCTAAAGTCCTCCCAGTCATATTTGCGTGTTTTCACCTTTCCACTTTATCAAATCAAGTAAACGATTCTAGAACCGGTCTAGAATAGTTTACCTGGTAAGGTAATTTACACCATCAATTATATTTTGAAATAAACATGCATTACTCAAAGAACATTGGAGTAAAAATATACGGAGTAATTTTGTATATTTGAAAACTAACTCCAGGGGGAATTCCGTAAGAAATCACCCTATGTAGCACTCTAAGTCACTCAATATTACGCATATAGCACTCCTTAGTCTTTAATACGAATTTAGTTATTTATAGTGTCAATATGTTCCAAGCATACCCTCTACCTTTTATTATATTCTACTATTTTTAATTACTTTTAATTACAGTCATATTTTTTAGAAGTGTGTAATGAATATTTGCTGTTTAATTAAAGGACAAAATCGAAATCACATGTACGAAACATATAGCACTGCTATTTAGACTATTTTAAGGCTCTAAGAGTGCTATTTTTGTTTTTCTCCCTTCTATTTATAAATTTTACTTTTTAGTCTTTGAAAAGTTTTATGGGAAGGGAGGAGTAATATTTTTTTAAATTTTATCTCAATTAATACAGAAAAAAAGTAGTACTTTTAAATTTCAATTTTTCTTTATTTAAAAAGTTTTATGGGACAGAGTAAGTAATACTTTTGACATTTTATATCAATTAATACAACAAAACAATTTTTTGTTATTTCACACACAAACAATTTTCTTCTCTTTATGAAAAAATGAATAAAGTAAAGAAAAAAGAGATGGGTGTTGGCACCCATTCCTAAAACGATAGGGGGCAGCGAAGTATTTTTTTTAATTTAGTATCAATTGTTACTAAAAGACAAAGATTAGAACTTGTCAAAAGGAAAAAGAGCTATCCCAACCCATTTAAAGGTTGAGAACAATCATTCCTTGTCTAACCCATATTTATTGCTCCTGTAAAATGGGTAATTTTGATATCATTTTGTAATTATGACGCATCTATCCCACAATAATATCAAAATTTTTATAAAGTAAAAGCAAAATTAGAAACTAATATCAAATTTACACAATTTTAGATGTGGCTTTTTCCTTCTTTGAAAAGTTCTAGGGGATGTTGGAATTAGCATATTATATTTTTCATATCAATTAACACAAAAAAAAAACAAAAAATGTAGTACTTCTAAATTTTAATTCTTCTATATTTAAAAAGTTTTATGGGAGAGAGTAAGTAATACTTTTGATATTTTATACTCCCTCCGTCCCAAAAAGATTTACACTTTTCAAAAAAATTGTTTCCCACAATCTCCTACCCATTTCTATTAAAAAACCACTCATCCGCTGCCAAACCCAAAGTTCGGACTTCATTAGCAGCTTTTCACGCTCGAGCCCCTCAGCTATTAAGGGTTTAGAGGTGGGACCCTATAGAAGAGATCCTGTCTAAGTAAGGTCACGCCGTTTGATTTTAGGCTTAGGTTTTTATTTTGGTTTTGGGCCGCTATAAACTTCCAGTGTGGGAAACTAACCTTGGTCAATGAAGAAGCTAAACATGTTTGGGAAAGGCTTTTTCGGACGCTAACGTATTACGGAGTGAGTAGTTCATTATGGGTTCTTCACATTCTGCATTTATTTCGTTCTGCCAAAAAGTATGTTTGGGAGCAATCTGAGTTTGACGTCGTCAAGAGGAAGACATTCATTTCAATCTGCAAAGGCCTCAAAGGAAGCCTCTTACCTCAAATGTCACTTTTACTTCTCCTGCAACACACTTCTTTTCATAAATAATTGGGACAAACAAGGAATGTATTTTTACAACAAATAATGGGGTTTTTGCTCTGATCTTATAAAAACATGCAGATGGTCGCTTCCTGTTAGAGATAAAAGAAGGAAGCATGATGGAAGAAGGTAAATCTCTATATATTGAATTGGTTTGTGAAACTCTGGTCTTGAATACAAAGATCTAACTAAAATAAGAATTTTTTTTTTTGAAGGATAACTAAAATAAGAATTAACTTACTAGGAAAGATACTAAATACTAAACATAATCCAACTAGGAAAGATACTAAACCTATTCCCAAAGGGATTCGATTTTCTTCTTCAATCTTGCTTCCTTCTTCTGTCTCTAACACTTTCCTTCTTCCATCCTGCTTCCTTCTTCTATCTTTAACACCCCCCTCAAGCTGGAGCATGGGAGTTCAACATGCACAGCTTGGACATAAAAAAAGTTCCCCCGATTCGCGCATCAGTGCAAGCTTCTCCGGCAGGTCCCACGTGCAATTCCTACACGTACAAATTGGGAACTACTCCAAACCTGCAAGAAACGTTCCCTCGGTTTTGCGCATCTGCGCAAGCTTCTCCGGCAGGTCACACGTGCAATTCCTACACGTACAAATTGGGAACTGCTCCAAACCTGCAAGAAACGTTTCCTCAGTTCGCGAATATGCGCAAGCTTCTCGACATGTGTGCGAGTTGGCGAGTGGAGAAACTCTCAAGGCGTAAGGAAGCTGATTGGCGGGATCCCTCTTCGGGGTGCACCGTCGACCGACCTTGATCTTTTAAGAAGGGTTTGAGTGTGAGCATACATGTTGGGACCCGACTGGCCTCCTGGGCCCTTCCTTGGGCGTGGTTGGCCGAAAATGTTGTCCTTGATTTTGTTGATGTCTTGGTGTGCGGTGGATGTGCAGGTGTGCATAGTTGCTAGCATTGCTCGACTTCATTGTGGCGTCGGGATCCTATGAAGCTGCCGGTTTTGGCTCTTTGATTGCGACCCCAAGTCAGGCGAGACTACCCGCTGATTTTAAGCATATCAATAAGCGGAGGAGAAGAAACTTACAAGGATTTCCTTCTTCGATCTTGCTTCCTTCTTCTGTCTCTAACACTTCCCTTCTTCCATCATGCTTCCTTCTTCTATCTCTAACACTTCCTGATATAATGAAGGGAATATTTGGAAGATGCTTGATTTCGGGCTGTCCACTTTTGGATGAGACCAGCCTCAATCGACTCGTCACGCCCCCTTATGATGTGACCACCGTATAATGTAATTGATAAAGCTTGATTCATTCATTATGAGAAGTAGCATATAACTCGCATACACAGTTGTCGATCCTATTCATTAGGAGACATGTGCTAATTATAAGGGATAAACATATGGTGGTTAGGAATTAATCTATACAAAGAGGAATAAATAATATTTATGGATTATCCTTAATACGCCCCCGCAAGACGGTGGTGCCATCTGAAACTCCGATCTTGGACCGAAACTTGTGAAAGAGAGCACGCCCAAGAGGCTTTGTAAGAATATCAGCAGTCTGATCAATGGAGGGAATGTGAGAAACATGCAATTGTCATGCATCAACAAGATCACGAACAAAAAAAATAATCGAAAGCAAGATGCTTCATGCGAGAGTGAAAAACTATATTCTTGCACACATAAACTGCACTGAGATTATCACAAAAAAGACGCGGAGGGGGCAGGCGGCCAAACTAAAGCTCACACAACAAATTTTGGACCCATGCAAGTTCAGCCACAACATTGGCAAGAGCACGATATTCCGCTTCAGTGGAGTACCGAGCAACACTTTTCTGTCGAGTAGACTTCCAAGAAATAATATTTGAGCCAAGATATAAGACATAACCTGTGGTAGAACAACCTCCATCAGTAATGCCACCCCAATCTGAATCAGAAAAGGCCGACAGCTAGAATGGAACAAACCGAGAAAGGAACAGACCATGAAACAAAGTAGTCTTCAAGTAACGGAGAAGACGTTTGAGAGCAGCCCAGTGAGAAACAGCATGAGAGTGCATATGCTGAGAGAGACGATTCACGGCAAAGGAGACATCAGGCTGGGTTAGAGAGAGGTATTGTAACCGGACAAGTAGACGACGATACGCCTTGGCATCCTCGACATACACGGTAGAACGAGAGGAAGAAGACTCATGGGTAACCATCGGTGTAGATGTACCTTTAGCTGCTGCCATGTCCCCATACTCCAAAATATTCAAAATATATTGAGCATGAGAAAGAAATAGGCCTTGCCGAGTGGGGATAATCTCAACACCCAAAAAATGACTAAGAGGACCTAAGTCCTTTAGTGAAAACCGGCGCCAAAGAGTATTAACAAACGAATCCAAAAACGCAGAAGAGTTGCCAGTGATGACAATATCATCTACATAGACCAAGAAATAAGCAAGAACACGATCCTTGGCATAGACAAAAAGAGAAGAATTAGCCTGTGATTTGCAGAACTCAGTGGCAAGAAGAAAACTTGACAAGGAGTCATACCAAGCGCGAGGCGCCTGTTTTAAACCATATATGGCCTTGGACAAGTGACACACATGAGTAGGATGGTCTTGATGAACATAGCCCGGAGGTTGATCCATAAATACCTGTTCAGACAACTGGCCATGAAGAAAGCATTATTGATGTCTAATTGACGCAGTGTCCAGTCATTCGCAAGAGCAATACTGAGGACCAAACGAACAGTGACCGGCTTCATAACCGTACTGAAGGTCTCAAAGCTATGTAATCACGTCCGGCTTCCTGCAAGTACCCCTTAGCAACGAGTCGAGCCTTAAAGCGATCCACAGAACCATCCATATGCCGTTTTATACGAAACACCCATTTGCACCCAACAGGTCGCTGCTGCCCCCGAGGAACCAATGTCCATGTCTCATTTCTTAAAAGAGCATCATATTCATCATCCATAGCTTTCCGCCAGTGGGGATACTTGAGGGCCTGAGCAACAGTCTTAGGTTCGAGAGGTTCAGGAAGGGGATGACGAGACACCATATGAGATTGAGGAGGATCAGTCACAAACTCAGGGTTAAAGATTCGGACATTCGGGCGACGATGACGAACAAGACGGGGAGACACATGGTCTAGAGTGGAGACAGGAGATGAGGTCACGCTCTAGCCCCTCAGCTATGTTTCATCAACCATGCATGAAAAGTCTCATGGGATGGAAAAATTAATATTTTGGATTTTTATCAATTAATACAAAAACAACAAAAAGTGTAATACTTTTAAATTTTAATTTTTCCGCCTTAGAAAAGTTTTATGGGATAGAGCGAGTAATATTTTATTTAATACCAATTAATGCAAAAAAACAAAAATGTAGTATTTTTAAATTTTGATTTTTTTCTTTAAAAAGTTTTATGGGACGCAAAAATTAATATTTTGGTTTAATGTCAATTAATACAAACAAAAAATGTGCGGAGTAGTATTTCTAAATTTCACTTTTTCAGTATTTGAAAAGTTTCATGGGACAGAGAGAAAAATACTTTTGATTCTTCATATGAATTAATACAAAAATACAAAAAATGTACTCCCTCCGTCCCACAAAAAACTTCTCATTTTGACTTTTAAAGGAGTTAAGGGGAGTGTATTTTTGTGTTGACTTTCCAAAAATGCCTTTTAATGTGATAGATAAAGTATGATGTGATGAGTACATTAATAGAGAAAAAGTTTGATGTGATAGATAGGTTAAGAATTAATAGGGGTAAATGGACTTTTTAATAAAAAAGAGAAGAGTTTTTTGGGACGGATGAAAAACGAAAGAAGAAAGATTTTGTGGGATTAAAAAGATTAGAATCTCTCAGAAGGCCAAGGAACCATCATCCCAATTTAAAAGTCAAAATGAGAAGTTTTTTGTGGGATTAAAAAGATTAGAATCTGTCAGAATTTGTAAAGATTGAAAACGATCATCCGCTGCCTAACCCCAAGTTAGGACTAATTGTGGAAGCTAGTCACGCTCTACCCCTCAGCTAACATTTCATCATCCAGGCATGGTTTACTTTCTCCTTAGAGTAAGGGTTTAGAGGTGCAACCCTATAGAAGAGATCCTGTCTAAGTAAGGTCACGCCATTTCATTTTAGGCTTAGGTTTTTATTTTGGTTTAAGACCGCTTAAAACTTCCAGTGTGGGAAACTAATTAACCATTTTCGGACCCTAACGGATTGGTTTATATGGTCACTTTCACTTCTTCAACACAGCTTTTTTCATAAATTTGGGGGAAAAAACAGTGCATTTTAAGCACAAACCGTGGGATCTTTGCTCTTACTTCCTCCGTTCCACAAAACCCTTTCGGTTTTGACTTTGGGGGAAAATAAGGAAAGTGTAATTTTGGTTGACTTTCCAATTTTGCCCCTGATGTGATGGAAAAAAATAAGATGTGATGGTTTGGTTATTAGTGAAAAAGTATGATGTGATAGGTAGGGTATGAAAAAGTAGGGGTAAACGTGGTTTTTTAATAGAAAGTGGAAGTATTTTGTGGAAAGCAAAAAAACGAAAGAGGAAAAGTTTTGTGAAACAGAGGGAGTATAATACATGCAAAATACTTAAGAAATGCCAAACAGTGAAGAGATCAAAAGCTTATAGGTGATGGGTATATATGTACTCTTAGGATTTATTGGAAAAACTTTATTTATTCTCAATTATCTTAAACAAGATATACAGCTATACGTGCCCACCAACTATGTCTACCTTTTTTATTGCACACTATTCTGAAGATTATTATTTTATATGTGTAAAAAGTTAATTGAAATTTATATTTTAAATTTTGATAAAAGCATATCTACCACAAATTTTACTTTATATTTTATAAATTTTAAAAGACATAATTTATTTAAAAAAATACTAAACCACAAAATACTACATATAAATCTTTTTAAAAAATTCACCCTACACAGGACTTAAAAGATGCAAAATGATGACTTTAGGAGTCCTATTATAACTTCTCCTTCCCATAAAAGTCTTCATGTTTACAAAAAAAGCGCGCTTTTATAATGAGTAATTTTGGTGTTATGTTCTAATTATGACGCATTTATCCTATACATCTCATCATACTCTATTTTAAAGTAAGAGCGAAATTAGAAAATTACACAAGCCAAATTTGGGAAAGAAAAGAGGAAAATTTGGGAATTGGGAGCTTGGGGAGGTTAAAGCGGGAGAATGGAGAGAGATTAGATTTGGGAATGTCTTTCGGTGGGAGACGAAAAGCCTAAAAAATGAAAAAAAAAATTTTTATATATTAGGTAGCATGCTTGCCTCTTTAGCAATCCCCTTCATTTTAAGGGTGCACCTGTTGTGGGTCCAGCCCATTTTCATTTGGGTTCCATTTTTTTCTTTGGTGGAGGGCCCAATTATGTTTTTACTTTGTTGACTAAAAAAAGAGAATAAAAGGGCTGGGCAGTGGCAGTGCTTACGAACAGAGCAGAGAGAGCAAACAGAGAAAAAAAAACAGAATAGAGAGAGGAAAGGTGCTGGTGCAGAATTTACAGACCAGCCGCACAAATCCGATCATCGCCGGAGATCCGACCGTTGGATTGAGCTGAAATTTTCAGAGGTTGTTCCCAACACTTTGGGCTTCAATCTTTTCAAGTTTCACATTAATCGGAGCTACGGATCTTCTGTAATCGCAGCTGGTGCGACGCTGCGTTTTTGGGTGTTTGGTTGGTTGTCTTGAAGTTGATCCTTGTAGGTGTCGTATCCTACTTGTTGCTTCTCCCCCAACATTTGGTATCGGAGCATTGGTTTAAACCGTAGATATGGAGTCAGGAAATAATTCTATGGTTAAATTGACATCAACCAATTATTCCATTTGGCGTCCTATGATGGAGGATTTGTTATATTGTAAAGATTTGTTTGACCCAATTGATGTGGATAAAACCAAGAAGGATGACATGCCCACTAAACCTGAGAAGATGACGGATAAAGAATGGGAAAAACTGAAGAGAAAGACCTTGGGGACTATCAGACAGTGGATTGATATTAGCATATTCAATCATGTATCCCAAGAGACTGAGCCACTCGAGTTGTGGAGAAAATTGGAGGGTCTTTATGAGAGAAAGACTGCTCATAACAAGGCCTCGTTGATTAAGAGGCTTGTTAGTCTCAAGTTGAAGCCGGGNTGGTAGAGAATAGAGGAAGAAGCAAAAGCAGAGGTCCCAAGGGGCGTGGCAAGTCAAAGTACAGGTCCAAGTCCAAGGATGGGAGAGAGCCCACTATATGTCACTATTGTAGCAAACCTGGCCATATTCAAAAGTTTTGCTACAAGATGAAAAGAGACCAGCAAAAGAAGAAAAATGATCATCACAAAGAGGGTGATGACAAGAATACAACGGCGACAGCTTCTACTTCAGATGATGGTGTTTCATTGGTTTGTACGGCAGGTGATTGTTGTCATGTTGATAATTCTGATTCTGAATGGCTTGTTGATACGGGGGCTTCTTATCATTGTGTTCCTCATAAGGAGTACTTTATTGACTACCGAGTTGGAGATTTTGGTAGTGTGAAGATGGGAAACCAGAGTTCCGCATGTATTGTTGGAATTGGAGATATTCGGGTTCAAACCAGTGTTGGGTGCTATATGACTTTGAGAGATGTTCGCCACATTCCAGATTTACGCCTCAATTTATTGTCTGCTAATGTACTTGATCAAGAAGGTTACAAGCATACTTTTGGTGAGGGTAAATGGAAATTGTCTAAGGGTTCTTTGACTATTGCTCGTGGCAAGCTTTGTTGCACTTTGTATAAGACACACTTTAAAGTGTGTGCTAGTGAGTTGAATGCTGTTGAGGAGAAAACTTCTCCTAACTTATGGCATCGCAGATTGGGCCATGTTAGTGAGAAGGGTATAAAGCTGTTGGCTGGTAAGTCTCTTATTCCTGCTGATGTTACCGTTTCACTTGACCCTTGTGATCATTGTTTAGCAGGAAAGCAGCATAGAGTTTCTTTTCCGATGAGATCCAGGAGAAAGAAACTAAAGCTAGAGTTGGTTTATTCTGATGTTTGTGGTCCTATTGAGGTGGATTCACTTGGTCGTAACAAATACTTTGTTACTTTTATTGATGATGCTACTCGGAGAACTTGGGTTTATATGATGAAGCACAAAAGCGATGTGTTTGGCATCTTTCAGAAGTTTCATGCCATGGTGGAAAGGGAGACAGATTGCAAATTGAAGCGTCTTCGAACTGATAATGGAGGTGAATACACTTCAAATGAGTTTAAAGCATATTGTTCAAGATATGGCATTCGACATGAAAGAACAGAACCTGGTACCCCACAACATAATGGTGTTGCCGAGAGGATGAACAGAACTATTGTTGAGAAAGTGAGATGTATGCTTAGGATGTC